CCACCCCCTAAGAGAAAAGCAAAAGTAGTACAACAATCTTTTTTCAATGAATTTCAATGAAGGTGGCGAAAAGACACCATCTCTTGGCATATTATTCAGGAATCCAATTTAGACTCTCTGCTTATTTTTGGAAGTATTTTTTTAAGATAATTTTTTTCGAAAAAGTACTTTATATTTGGCTAATTATTTGATAAGTGTTTTTGGTTAGCTAAATGTGTTTAACTAATTCTTTTTAAAAAAAGTACTTTTAAGACTGAAAAAAATATAAGTATCAATGCATTCTAAATATTAAGATTATATAATAGAAAAAAATTATATTAAATATCTATTATAAAAAATTAATTTAATTTTTGTTGTACGTATTCAAATTTACAAATAATATTATATGTTGATAAATAAAAATAAATTAAATATTAAGTGACAGTATAATTTAATCTGAGAACTATTTTCCAGTGATGTGGAGAGAACTGTTGAAACCTTAGTCTCCAAGGAATCAATTGTCAATACTCACTAGTGGAAAATTTCTTTTTCTTTTTTGATGTTGAAAGGGAAAACTTGGTCCCAAGAAAATAACAAATGGACAAACAACTTTCTAAAACATATTTATTAACCAAACACACCAATAAAAATAATTTTGATATTATTAATTGTATTACTAAAATTTTTATATATCAAACAATTTCTTGTTACCACTATGTCAATATTGTAATTATACTAGTAGTATTGAATGAACATTTTTAATTCATTAATTTTGATAAGCTGAATGTCCTATTATAAAGAGGTAGATCTAAGAAACATCAACGAATTCATGATTTCGAATAGATGAATGTCTTAAAACGACGGACATATCGAACCTTTTGGAAGTCATGAAATTTCAATTACTTCTTAAGTATATGGATATTATTCATATTATTAAGCAATCACTAGTTCTGTTTATCCTTTATCAAATTGGCTTTGGTTTTTTCGTTGTTTTTTTTAAAGGCAAGTATGCAATACCTTTGGGAAAGTAGTTTCAGCCTCCCATCCGAACGTGGACACAAGGTCCAAGTTCTTGAAATCCTCTATAGTATTACATATCTGCCTCTGCAGATCTGGCGAGGCATGAAGAATGTGCTTGTGCAGGCTAGCCTTAACTGCAGATTGAGCATAGCATTCGTTGTTTACCGAGGCAGACCTCAAATCTGTCCCAGATATTTGAAATAAAGATGTGCTGTAACAACATAATCTAGCACTGCATCTCCGAGAAATTCTAACCTCTGCATAACGAGGTGATCATATCAGCAAAAAGGCACATATACTAAGACTTTTTCGCGAGTTTAACATCACAACTATTAGTTGTTAATTCATTTTTCCTACCTGAACGATGATAGGAATAGGAATATTGAACTTAAGAGTACGATGCAAAGAGAGTGAGACAGATAATAATTTATATTCGAGAATAACCTGATAGCATCGTGGAATCTCAGGTAGCATGTAAGATTCGTGAGTAAGTGCTTCAACAAGCAGAGAAGGATCATGGAACTTGTAATGTAGCAGAGATTCAAAGTACCGGATATTGACTAGTTTCTCAGCATTCAAGGGGAAGTGCCTTTGAATCGGTGCATCAACAAAATCGATGTCCATCCCTAGCCATTTCATTAATGATAAAGCGGCTACTTCCCCGCCTGAGCTGAGGTAGGCACCTATTAGTGCCTCAACCACATCAGCTACTCTCTTACTTCTAATCTTCTGTTTTATCTTACTATACATTTTATCTGAAGACGTCATGAACTCTTCGTTGAAACTGTGAACTTGAGAACTATCACCAGGAATGATCCACGCTTGAAGATTGAATGGTTCATTACGGATAAATCCCTGTAATCAAAAGGTATTTATTAGAGATATGGAGTTGAAACTACCCAAACTCCAAGCCCAACAAAAAAATCACTAAGGAATACCTACCGGTATTTTATGAGCACATCCAAGCTTGCACAGTGCAGTATTGAAAATGATTTTACTCTTTTTAACGCAGAGAAGACCCTCATGATGATTTTCGTAAGTCTTGAACAGCAGTTTACTGACAGCATATTTGAGAAAAGCGTCTCCAAGTGTTTCAAGTGATTCTAAATGAAACTTATCGAGACATTTCCTTGTTGCACTGCTTCCAAAACCTAAAATAATAAAACAAGAAGTAAGTTGTGAGAACACTAGCCTACTGATGGGAACTCGAGTGTGAGTGTATGTATGAAGTTCAAAGATATGAGATATGATCATAGTAGCAAATACCTTAGCGGTTGGGATGAAGACGTTTAGTTTGCAGTCATCCAAAAGCATACTTTTCAAGTATGAGGCCATAACCAAGGACTCAAACCGATGCATGATTGAAGGAACCAATGAATATGTATAAAGGGTAGAAATAGAGACATGTGACATGATAACGAAACAAAGTTCAGGAGGCAACTCAATAGATGAATCAGTTGAATCTGCAAAGGAGGCTAAAGCTAAGTGATCATACGTAATTCGTAAACATTATAACAAAATGAGAACCAAATGATCAAACCTTTAGCCTTCTGAGTTCTGCATCTCTGAAGGTAATTGTGCACTTTCGATATATGTTTTCCCCTAAGAAGTGGTTCTTCAAAGCATAGTTTGATCCCTTGCTTGTAAAACGCGTACACCTTAATATCTTGAAACCAAAAGATCATGTATGGTAAAAGTGAACCAGGAAATCAGAAGCTAATTGTACATACCACTTTTGGTAGTATTCTCGGTAAGTAATGGATTCTCCAGTTCTCATATTCAACAATGAATTGCAATCCAAATTATCTAAAAAACCGGTAATGCAGTATATGTTGCCATTATGAGGTGTAAAGACCAATGAATTCTCCAAAATGCAGCTACATACCACCCCAATTTTGGTGTTCACACTGCGTTTACGATCTTGTGTAGAACACCAATCCATATGCTTATCCCGAAGAACTTGTGACGGAAACAACAAAGAATTCACACATTTCCAGTTTATTTCAGGGGATGTACCCACAGATGGGAGCAAAAGATAATCGGAAACTGCAGAACCAATAGGCAATTGACCTGCAGCCAAAGCGTCCTGCAGTTTACTCAGATCACGGTCAAGAAGAATTCTGAATACACTGACTTGAAACCTCTGACACCTTCGAATTTGGAGAGGAAGAGATAGATCGATAAAAAGTATCATGAATCATCTTTACAGGTAATTAGTTAAGAGATGATAAAAGTCATCAAAACTATAGTCACCTCTTCAGAAGTAAGTGTAACAACTTTACTATACTTAAGTTGAACTTGCACGCGTCCCCTCCTATCAACGTCCAAGTCAAATGTCAATGTTTCATCATCACACTTGAGCCTTGTCCTAACAGCAAGTATAATCCCATGAAGCTGGAAATCATCGTAAGTTTCATGTTGCAACTCAACTAGGTAGCAGTAGTACACTGCTTCTGACTCATTTTCAAAATGACTAACCAATTCTGGCGGAAAGTATTTCGATTCTTCAACAATTTGAAACTTACATTCTGCACAATATAATAGGTTAGAAGCTAAATACCACCGTCTAAGAAAACCATATTACATAAAATATATTAGAATTACCCAATTCTTTGTTGATAGCTTCTTCCTCGACGATATCAGGAACAAGATTGTCAGTCAACGCACCCACACAATTAAGTTCTTTACAAGCTTCCAAGCATGCAAGTTGCCTCAATATTTTACTATTCCCCTGAACACTAATTATTCTTTGCAATGGGGAACTTTTGGGAAGTTGTAACGTGCACGTTCGTGTTTCCTTATCAATCACACATCTAGGATTCGGTTTAAAGTACCTACAATTGAAATGAATGTCAGTCGGAAAAGCAGAACTAAAACGATACCAGATTCCTTAACACGCATAGCAAGGAATATGCAGTACAAACCCGTCTGATGGTAGCCTTGCAATAGAAGTATAACAATGATACGCTAGAATTGAGGGTGACAATTGCTCTTGTGCTTTCAACTTTGTAGCAAGGCTCATCATACATTTTGTCACGCCCCAAACTAGAGGAGGCGTGACTGACACTCGACACCTTAAGCAATCGATTTAGCCACATAAACATACCAACTGACTCAACTGAGGGTTAGAAGGTCAAGCAGCATAACACCTAAAATACTATGACTGGACCCTTAAGGTCATAACCTGAATATCGATAAGTCATATAGACGAAGGTAGACAAGCCAAAGATAATAAGGTACTAGCTAGCCGACAAGGCTACAATGAAGATATACACACATACATACATATCTATACATGCCAAGCATATGTGGCTGGAAACTGGAAGCTGCAGAAAGAAACCCAGAATATTGTGTCCACAATAGCCTCTATGAGTGACATAAGCACTGGTCAGGGCAAGGCCCCGATTATACCCAAACTGTACAATAAAAGTAACCTCCTATGAAAGCTCCAGGAGAAAGTGGAGCTTACCAACTCACAGCTAAACCCCGAATCCTAGCAGAGGGGTCAATCAGAATCCCTACCTAGACCTGCACGCACGAAACAAAAATATGTCCTAGGCAACGGAACGTCAGTACGAATAAAAATGTACTGGTATGTAAGGCAGAAAATAGAATAATAAATAATTACTGTAAAAAGGGAACAAAGATACCACCTGAAACAGAAACTCTAGTAGACGCCATGGCTGACATCAAACCTTATATAAATTAAATATGCATGGTATGCTCGCATAATCGTATGTCGTGAATATATATATATATATATATTGATGACAAATGCATGTCATACCCAACCAAGTGCTAGCAATGGTGGTGCCTTTCGGTAGCAAACCGGCATCATATTCGCCAACTTGTAGGCCATCTGTGTCTCATACGTATAAATAGAGGCAATAGGCCCCATACCTTCCGATTATAGCTCGGAAGTAGAATGCATAGCATGTAATGTTATGGATCCGTAATGCTATTTGTTACCTGAATCATGTTGCCAATCTTGGCTCATTGGTACTCTTGTCCTCATAATCTCGTAATCACTTTCGTATCACATGTAAATATCTCGTGAAACTTATATACTTGTAGATTAAACTGGAACACTTAACTTGGATTTAGAAAGACAACTTAAACTTGAGGATGTTCATAAAGAGCTTAAAGTTCCTCACTTAGTATCTATATATGTTTCTTTAGTGGTTTTAAAAGAAAGTATTTCAAAAAAACCCGTATTTTACTAGTTTAAACCTATGATTTATATTTAAAAGTTTTGGAGATCGACGTTTTATTTTAAAGTTTTCAAAAATATAAATTAGCGAGGAAGGAGGACTGATTTCAAATTCATATTGTTCATCTCTAATCTTTTTAAGTTACTACACCTAAAGAAGAATAAGAATTTGTACACATGGACCTATAGTCAAGAGAATCAACAAAATGACATAAAGACGCCAAATACCCTATCTAACCGAACGAGTGGAATAGCAACATAATGGAGTCACAAAAATACACCAGCTGCAATATCAATGCCTTTCACCAAAAGGTCTTTCTAGTAATAGAGTAGTAAAACAATATTTGACGATTTAGGATTCTAAAATTCATGCTCAAAGGAAGTACAATGCTTAGTCTTAACATACCATGACATCGCATCCCGAAGCTACCTCTAACTCCATCTACCCGCTTCCTTTGGCCAACTTATGGTTTGACACAATTTGAAATCCACAAAATGAAAGAACCACAAAACTAGCGGAATATCGATGGTACTTAATTGGGGAATAGGTCGCACATTGTGATTCCTCAATTGTATATATACAAAATGTCTGTTTATACTAAAGGAATTATGTAGAACCTCTTAATGCCTTGGTAAGGAAAAAGAAATTGAACCACCACCGCATGGAATCACATACACACGCATACTACAACTTACAAATAAATGATTCTCTTTTGTTATAACTCGCTAATGGATAGTTGAAGAAAATAAGCACTTTAGCATATGCAAATTTATATATAGAGAAAGAGGAAAAAGATCTGGTAAGATTACTATTAAAAAAAGAGTTGTCTACATATATGTTATATTGATACTACACATAATAATTAAATAATATACTAAGGTGGGCAAGTGGAAGCATCCCATAATTTAAAACAAAATGTGTCCAACCCTCCTCACCTAATGGAGGTGTCAAAGCCATTCAAATCTCTTTTTCATTACTAAGCATTCGGGCATTGCGTAGGCTCATGATAATAGATATATAAAAATTATTCAAATATCTCTTAATTAATAGAAAATTATTTCAAATAAAATCTATCACATACAATAATAATTTCTTGATATAACTAGACTACTATTTCCATTAAAATATTCATAAATTACGAAATCCTTTTAAAATAATACATGCGCAAATATACCGTGACGAAAGAAATGTTCATCGATATTTAATACATTTTCTTTAAAGGAAATAAAATATAATTTTTTTAAATTTCAATTAAAATACGATGTTATAAAATCGCACACGGTGCTACGGTTAAATTCACAAATTTAGCCTTCTAGCCTTCTGTACGTGAAAAATGACAATCGCTTATACCTGAGGTGTTACACATTTCATCGTCTAGAGGTGAACATGGAATAGAAGCATGACGTAATGATTCTTGCCGCATCATCTCCCCATTAGCCATAAAGTTTTGCATTCGAGTAAGGGTTGATTCATCTCCATTACGATTTGAGTCAAAATTAAAAATGATCAGTCCATAGATATAATCAAATCCTTCAAAGTTTATCATTGCACAAAATATACCTTTTGACCATCAGAAGAAAGTCGGAGTTCTGCATTCGAGCTCTTCCACGAGATTGTATATAGCTACAAACAGTAGCTGAGGGATCAAATCGAATGACAAGGTTGCAACTTTGAACATCCAAGCCTTCTTCAAGAATAGATGTCGCGACAATAATGTTCACCTGCAGCATTTGCATGGATATATAACGGACTTCAAATCTTCAGAAACAATCCAAAAAGCAAAAATAAACTAAAAATTGGACTTACCACACCCTTTCGAAACTCTTCAACAATTTTATTCTGTATTTTCCTACTCTGTGACTGAACCACAGAAGCATGTCCTGCTGTGTACTCAGTTCTCCAACCACTTAATACCGGAAGCAACTCATTCAATAGAAACCGTAGAACAATGGCTGTAATAATTCTCTCAACAAATATGATACATCTCAAATCCTTCAGGTCCCTGGTGGATCAAAAACAAAGTCCACATGAAGTGCCAACAAGCTTTTGACTAATTAGTAGATTTAATATTCAACCGGTCTTACCTGTAATCGAGAAGAGACTCTACAAGACAATGAACTTTCTATGACAAATATCCAGCATCCGTATTTGCCTGAATATCACCACCAATTGACCAATGTGGTCCTATGTTTGCCGCGAAGAGAGAGTGAGTGAGTGAGTGAGAGAGACAGATAACATAAAGAAATCGAAAACATGTATAAAATGGATATTGCTAACTGTTATACCAGAAGGTAAGCAAGCCGAGAAAATTCCTTAGATGCATCCAAACTGAAATCTCTAACGATTGTTTGAGCACATACATCTAACTCTCCCCACGAGAAGAAGTCAGTTTCTTCTTGAGACAAGAACTCTGCTGCCTGATTCAAAACAAAAGTCATGTTCGGAAAATGAACAAGGCTAAAACGATTTTTTTTTAAAATACTAGCAAGGAACAAACTTTACCTTGAAAGCCAGCCAAATACCCATCTCACTCAAACAAAATAAGAAAGTGGAATGAAGGTTTGATAGACGTCTTTTTGCAGATCCAGCACTCTTATAAGACAGGTTTGATTTTAAAATCGAACATTCATGCTGCAACGATAAGAGAAGTTAAAACAATTAAAATTGGAAGAGCAAAAAATGTTGAATTAACGTTTACCTTTTCTTTCAACCTTTCCATGTCATGAGCTAAACTTTTAGACAATGAGGAAAGAATATCTTCATGTTTATATATCTTCAGCTTCGGATTTGAGAACGGGATATACTCTGCCAAAACAGCTTCACTGTCACAAGTATATACCTTCATTTGCAAAGGGAGATCACAATTAGACGAACCGAATATATATACATCTAAATATGTGTTTATGTCTTTCTTCTTATACAAAAGATATGACAACAAGAAAATAAGTGCAACTCTGAAGGAACCTTAGAATGCATAAGATTCTCGAGGTCACGAATCTTTCGCCAATAACTATCTGGCGTGCTAGGACCTGCACAAACATGAGACTTAATAGGGGAAGCAGTCATCCCGAATATTCTTGGAAGTTGTGCACTCTCACTGGTTAATTGGCGATGATAAAGTTCCTGGAAAAAATAATTATCAATCATCTACAACAAGAATTGCTCAAGCACCATACTAAGTCATAATGCTCAGACAACAACGTACCATCATTATGCTTGCATAGGGGTGTTTGCCTTGTGCATTGTGGCACTCATCGAATATTATAACTTTAATCATATCTATCTACAAAAAGTTGTGCCTCAAAGCAGAAAGTAGTATAACCGGAGTCATAACAAGTACCTGAAATACGAAATCTTGCTGTGAATTGTGATTACTTATGACACATACATACAAGTAATATATATGCAATGCCCAACTTAGTTCAAAGAGAGCCACGCCAAAAAAAGGATCATAACACAAATAATGACGACTCAAGCAACTATTACAGTTTATACGCACCTCGTGGCCATCTACTTGATGTTTCCATGTAGCAGCATCCCAGAAATCAACCCCCATTTCTCCCCAATATGTGTCAACTTTCAAGTCAGTATGCATCATCAGAGCATCTCCTTGCTTGTAATCACAAAATCGATAGCATTAGTACAAGTCAAATAGACAGTTTTGGACCTCAAACAGTACAACAAACTCAAAGGATGAGACAACTAATGGGAAAAAACAGCTCCATCTTTAGACAAAAAGCTCGAAGATTCGTTGGGGCTTTAAGCGCAAAGAGCAAATAAAGCGCGAGCTTTATGAAGAAAAAGGCACAAATGGAGAAAACATACAAATATATGAACAAAGAAATTGATTGTTTCTACGATAAAGTGAAATATCAATAGTTTAGCATCACTCTTCAGAATGTCTTAGAGCCTTGATGACGACACTGAAGCACACATAAAGGGAGTCAAAGCACTTAACGCCTCACTTCAGGACTTAAGCGCGCCTTTGCTAACACTAGACAAGAGAGCAAGTTTAAGTGTATACCTGAGACACCAGAACAACAGTTGGAACCAAGAAAACAGCTATGTAAGAAGACGGTTTACGAAGAAGGTAAGCATAACTTCTAAGAAGCATAATAGCAATCAAGATCTTTCCAGAACCAGTCTCTAAGTAATCAATTGTGTTCTGCTTTAATGCATCCTCCAAGGCTTCCAACTGATAACTACATAACAAAATCAACACATACATTACAAAAGTTCATTTTTTTCGAATAAAATTTCATTTTTTCAATCAATGTAAAGATTCTAACCTTCTTGCAAAAGGCAAAGGATCAACAGAGAGTTGTTGGTTTCCACAGACGACATCATTAGCTCGCGCCATCGTTATGTTATCTACATAATCATTGAACCAAACAAATACAAAGATGAAACAAAAAACTCTCCAAGAAAATGAAAAACAAGTGATCGTATTAAAGAGAAATTTACAAATCAAACTAAGAAGAAAAAAAACAAGATTTTGCAAGTAAAAGAACATATAATCAAGTATTTAACTCCACATGTAAACACCAGTTTCAACAAAAAATGCATAAAAGAGTGATCTTTATGAAAAAGGAAAAAGGTTTGATACACTCTTTAACTTTACGAATTAGAACTGATATGCCACTCTTTAAAAAAATGACAACATATATATATCCTTTTCGACTAATGAAAATAAAAAAAAATCAATTCAATTTTTTTGATTAGTCATTAAATTAAAGAAGACAAAAGAAAAATATTATGTGTGATAATACTTAGCAAGAATGGTCTAACATACCTTGGATTATAAAAAATTAAATTTAAAATCAATTTTTTCACTTCCATCAGCCGAAAAAAGAGTATATATATCTAGACCATTTGTGTAACGTTATGAACATATATGAGTGACTTTTATAAAACGTTAAGTATATCAACTCGATATCACTAAGTTGAAGGTATATGAAGTCCTTTGAAGACATCAATAAACAACAAAGATTTAACCCCTCATGTAAATATACAATTAAAAAAAATGCATAAAAAAGTAATCTTTATAACAAAGAAACATAAAAATAATCAAGAAATCTCACTAGCTATAGTTGAACTGCAAAAAAAATTGTGTTTGCCAATTTTTTTGAGTGTTTAGTGAAGAAAAAAGAGTGAGACAGAGGACTATTATATAGCAATGGAAAAAAAATACCCCCTGCCCCCCACCCCAATATGAAAACTAACATATACATTTATTATTTTTGTCCTATATTACCCATGAGAATATATATTTTATATCAATTGAATTTCTTCTTCTTCTATAGAAAGAAATTGTGAAAATGAGAAGGGTATTTATGTCATTTATTACATGAATTCTACTACCAAGAATTGAATATAAAATTTAAATATTTTAAAAAGTTCAAAATAAAATTGTCCTCTAGCTCAAAACAAAAAGAAGACAAAAATTTACTAATTAAATTTATTTGACTGATTTTTTATCGTTTCTCCATAAAAGTATATAATATAATTTTTTTCAAGTTTGTAATTAAAGGAAAGTAAGTTATATTATTCTGTAAAGAAAAAGGAAGATGGATTGAATATTGTATTACTTATAAGGAATATATTTAATTTAAATAATGTTGGTCAAAGATATCAAAGATTATCAATATCTAGTCATTACATATTTATAATTTAAATAACAAAGCACCTTTATTTATATGTGTCAATTCTTGACTATTCAAACACACGAATACATCATTTGAAAAAAAAACTTTACATATAAAATATTCGAGACTATAAAATTTATCGTGCGTCCTTAAGGAATTTAAATCTCTCATTATATTCGAAATTATGAATTACTTTCTCTCAAGATAAATCAGATATATCCAAGGTTACAAATTACTATTCTCTCCATTTTATTTTACTTGATCTATATTAACGTGATATAATTTTTAAGAAATTTGCATTGCCGTTATTATAAAAACGTTAATCCATTCTATCATGGAAGGAAATAATCCAATAATTCCTTGGCAATATTACTGATTGTTAAGCAACAAAAAACTGATTTAACTAAAATACAATAATCTACAAACCAAATTAAAGAACATAAGTTATAATATTGTTTTGACGTGATACATATATTATAAATTATTTGCCAAAACTCAGCTGTTTTTTTCCCATTAAATATAAGACAAATACATAAATTAAATACACTTTATTACAAAACTAGAATAAATAATAGTAAAATTTTCACTTGTGGTGTTGATATCCGGAGCTACATAGATGTTTCCTTGTCCCTGCACAAAAAAAAAGGCCAAAAGGAAAATTCAATATATAGTATTGGATTGGGTCGAATTTAGTATTTTCGATTTAGATTTTGAATTTAAAATAAAACATTCAGTCAATATATACAAATTTTTAATTTGGAATTCAACAACTTAACAAATTAACTTCAAATTCTGATTTTGCCACTGACTCAATAATTTTTTATTTTTTTAAAATTATGATTTCCCATCCGATGTTCGATACCCATATTGAATCCCGACTAAATCAAAATTTTCACTAAAAAATTCCACATTAAGAAATAAAACGCTCCTTAATAAAAGACGACTTTGTAACAAACAATAAAGTTGTTATACAAGTATTAGTCAGACAGAAGAATGCTTAATCCATTTAATTTGCTAATTGATTTCTCTTGATAGATCACATGTGACCACTGCCAAATGTTTCGATGACTATATTTCAACATAACATATTAAGCCAATATTATTTTATTTTTGGAGATAAAAGAAGTTATATATAGGTAGCTTCAACAAGAAAATCATATATATTGGTTGGTACTAATAGTTTAGTCATTTTCAAAAAACAAACTTAATAATACTTCTTATAATAAGTTTTTCTTTGCAATAAAAATCCAAGAGTGTCATTTACTAAAATATCAAATTTTATCAAAGTAATTTTTAAAAGTCATAATTATCCTATGTTTGAAAATTTGAAATTGAACAAATTATAACACTATCAATTTACCACACCATTAAATATGAAAATCAAGCTTAACATGAAGAAATAGAAAATAACACGTCCCACATAATCACAAAATTGCTTCATATGAAATACTTGGAATGAAAAGAATCAGTAGGCAAATATGAGGCACACTATCAATTAACGGCGTGCTGCTTGCTAAGTGCTAATTCTCACTTATAGAATAAGAGAAAATATAATAATTCGCTTTTGAATATTTAGATGCTTATATGAACTAGTTTTAATCCATTAATTCAAACAAATTTTAATTTATAAGTACGTGCATAAAAATCTTTTTTGAAGTTATCAAATTCAAATGTACAGTCGATCAATATTGCAAACAATCTTAAAAAGTTGAAATTATCGCATTTAAATTCTAAACCACTCAGATATAAGATATGTACCTAGAGTACATGATCAGCCACATAATGACTTGTAGAATTAATAAAACCAATGATTTTTGCTTACATGAGTATTTTGATGATATATTATTCTTTTGTCAGATATTCTGAAGTTTAAAATCTGCTGATGCGTTTATAGTTGGTGTTGATATCGGAGGAGCTTCATGTTCATCGATATTATTAGTGATACGATTTCTCCGACATCGACGTAACCACCACCATGCTATGCTTATAGTAGTAAAACAATGACAAATTTGAGAGCTACCTTAATTGTAATGTGGACGATCAATTCCATGATAGTAGTAATTTAT